ATATTCTTATCGTCACTCGATGGTTATTTTCCCTTTCTGTTCTTCTGATATATGTATTCACTCTTCTGCTTTTTATGATATGTATTTCTGTGGGTATTTTTCATTTCTATTCTTCTCTCTCACACACACTCTCTCTCTCTCACTCTCTCGCTCTCTCTCTCTCGCTCTCTCTCTCTTGTACAATAGCTGTTTTTCCCAGTTTCCCAAAGGGATCTTCCTGTAGCTAAAATATACTATATATAGATGTTAATTTACTGAAATAAAGTATGTGTACCAGTTACATTCTTCTTTGGCTATTAACCATTGGATGCAAAACGATTCTGAAAGGAATAACCTTACAATTTTTTAATATTATTCAAAAATAGGCAAAAATGGTTATTCCAGCTAATATACGTTTTCACTAGGTTTCTGGAACTGTTTTGAAAACCTCATATTGCCACAAGATTCAGCGTGATCGATTATCTATGCTTCCATTCGTTTTTGAGATTACCTCATCTAAAGAAATGTTGATTCTGGGGCTTCGAGGAAATCCGATGCCACGCCTAAACCACAAAAAATTAAGAGTCCGCTTAGTTCCTATTTTAAACAGAACACGTTGGACTATCTACGTATGAAAGAAAATCGATGGATCGCTGTTTTAGTTTTGAGAGATACGAAGTGGTTTTCCAGAGATCCTTTGAAAACCCGATCTTTGAAATTTTGTTGAAACCAATTTTTGCGTATGGAAACATAGTTTAAAGTCTTGGCTATGGAATGTTGGAACCGCACATTAATATCTTGCGTCGTTTACGACTTATAAATAAAGTTAAGTCATGTCTGTTTAAAGAGACATCGGGAATGAACGGGTTAATATTGGTTTATTATGTCTCAGATGTTAATAAACTTGAAAATAAATCAAATTCAAAACTAACTGTGACCGCTGCATGCTATCTGTAGGTCTTCGCACAAAACTACCTTGTATCCCTGCTACTAAGAGGCGTATTTACAACCATAACGTGGCTTACTGCGATACGATAAGAAACAATCTCTCGCTTATTCCGTAAGATAGTATTCTGAGAAACTATAATACCATTGATGAGACAGTGGTAACGTTTTTTGAAATTATCAGCTCTCAAGCAAAAAAATGGAGCTAGAATCGGGCGGTTGGAGCTAGGTGACACGATTTTCGACCCGGTTAAGCTAGCTCCACCTCAACAAGTTTAACCTAGGATCGGGCGGTTCAACCTACTTTAGGACGGTTGGGGAGGTTATCACCTAGGTTAACCGCCCGATCGAGCTAGCTCTATTTGATCTAGCTCCAACCGCTCAACACTTTCCGATTCATTGTCCCTTATATCACTTACAAAGAAAACACTTATATACTAGTATCAAACATATATTGCGCAATGATCCAATCTCACTTGAAATTCTGACATTGAGTGTGAAACTGACTAAGGAAGATTTTCAAACAATTGTTCTGAAAATCTGGTCCCAACATATCAAATTTAGAAAATTAAATTTGCCATATTTTATGTTCGAGACACAACTTTCGAAAATGTTTTTTCCAAGGAGAAAATACGAGAAGCAGAAAAGTATTACTGTCTGGCAGATTCGAATCTGCAACAGGGTTGAATATTTTGCTTTCTTACTATTCGTACTAAAATTGACTTATAAGTTTCTTCGAGTGTCCTGGCCGTTTAGAGTTACGGTTTTGAAAATTCTGTTAAATGCTCGTTTCCCAAAAAGCAATGGATTTTCTTTTCAGAAACAGCCATTTTGTCTCATAATCAGGATCAGACGTCTTTCTTCAGTGTAGAAGTGTCTATTTCGTTTACCTTCATAAGCGACCGATTTAATTAATGAATCAATACGTTCATATCCTTGATCACTTTAATGATATAATGAGATAAATAAAAAAATGACTTTTGAAAATAAAAAGAATAGATCACTATTATTTACCTAAAAAGAGCCATTATAGGATACGATTGAAAATTCACTTGTGCATATTCACCAGATGAACCTTGTTGATTTTCAACATCGTTTATAATTTGTTGTAATTGTAAACAAATTAACAGAGGCGTATTACAACGTGTTTCTAATAACCAATCGCATAGTAATAGTTGACATTTAACACGTAGAATATTGACAGATGAAGAATTAACAGATAATGATAGATGTTGAATTAATTGTCTCAAATATTCACCGGATTTTTCCATTTTCGTAAACACAACACTTTACCACGTAAATAGAGAATTGAATGATCACCTTCAGTACCAAATAAAGATGAAAAATTATTTATCTAACGTTCACATAACTAAAACAGAGAAAATTGAATAACAGATAGTCAATATGTCATGATGATGAATCTTACCTGTAATTTTTTAGAATCTAATGCATTTTGACATAACAACGGGACTAAATTAGACAGTAACGTTCGTTTCATTAATATATTTTCATTATTTTCTTGAACAGGTGTTACTAACGCAGCTGTTCTTGTTAATAATATTTCATCATTTCGATCAAAATCATTATCAACATGGGTCAACCACAATTTTGACAATGAATCTAATTTTCTTTCTTTACAATAATTTTAGTAATCAAACCAGTCAATCAGCAACAACAGCAACAGTATTAACAAATTCTGCACCAGAAATAATGATTGCGTCAAAATGTTATTCATTATGGGTTAAAAATATTGATAACGGCGGCGGCGGTATAAATAGTAAAATGTCGGAATATTTGCATGATATACCCACACATTTATTCTTACCATTTGTTTATCAAATGGCAGCTCGAATGAATTTAACAGGTACCAGTGAATCATCTAAAATTTTATTCAATATTATCCTCCTGTTAAAGAGGGATTGAACACCTCGAAAGGTTCCCTCGTGAGGTGGTTCACTGTGTGCTTGCTGAGGTTTTACTGAGGTGCCTCAGATGTTATGCCTAAAATTTTGGACGAAAACATGTTTTCTCGAAACACATCGAATTATATATCGTTCGATGGACTTTTTTGCGTAGATTCCGAATATCACATTAGTTTTGCATAAAAATGCTTCTGAACATTTAAAAATTAAGTTTTTCACTTTTTCCGTTGTGCATAAATAAGGTCGTGTTCACTGTGAAAAAGATAAAATATATTAGAGCCGTAGCAAATAAGCAATGTTTACTCAGCCATTCCAGTGTTGTATTGATCTTCAGTGCATCAGCAATGGATGTTGCACCTTAACTGGATATATTATTATTCGAAATATTCAGCCGAGTCAGTGTTTTATTGATCTTCAATGCATGAGCAATGGATGTTGCACCTTCATTCGATAAATTATTATTTTCAATTTTCAACGACGTCAGTGTTTTATTGATCTTCAGTGCATCGGCAATGGATGTTGCACCTTCATTCGATATATTATCATTTTCAATTTTCAGCGAACTCAGTGGTTTATTGATCTTCAGCGCATCGGCAATGGATGTTGCACCTTCATTCGATATATTATTATTTTCAATACTCAGCCATTCCAGTCATTTACTGATCTTCAGTGCATCAGCAATGGATGTTGCACCTTCATTCCATATATTATTATTCGAAATATTTAGCCGAGTCAGTGTTTTATTGATCTTCAATGCCTGAGCAAGGGATGTTGCACCTTCATTCGATAAATTATTGTTTTCAATTTTCAGCGAAGTCAGTGTTCTATTGATCTTCAGTGCATGAGTATTGGATGTTGCACCTTCATTCCATATATTATTATTCGAAATGTTTATTCGAGTCAGTGTTTTATTGATCTTCAGTGCATCAGCAATGGATGTTGCACCTTCATTCGATATATTATTATTCGAAATATTTAGCTGGTGCAATAATATATCGAATGAAGGTGCAACATCCCTTGCTCAGGCATTGAAGATCAACAAAACACTGACTCGAATAAATATTTCGAATAATAATATATGCAATGAAGGTGCAGCATCCACTGCCGATGCACTGAAGATCAATACAACATTGGAATGGCTGTATATGTCGAATAATAATGTATCGAATGATGGTGCAACATCCATTGCTGATGCATTAAAGATCAATAACACACTGACTTCGCTGAAAATGGAAAATAATAATATATCGAATGAAGGTGCAACATCCCTTGCTCAGGCATTGAAGATCAATAAAACACTGACTCGGCTAAATATTTCGAATAATAATATATGGAATGAAGATGCAGCATCCATTGCTGATGCATTGAAGATCAATACAACATTGGAATGGCTGTATATGTCGAATAATAATATATCGAATGATGGTGCAACATCCATTGCTGATGCATTAAAGATCAATAAAACACTGACTTCGCTGAAAATTGAAAACAATAATATATCGAATGAAGGTGCAGCATCCACTGCCGATGCACTGAAAATCAATACAACACTGGAATGGCTGTGTATTGGAAATAATAATATATCGAATGACGGTGCAACATCCATTGCTGATGGATCGAATGAAGGTGCAACATCCATTGCTGATGCACTGAAGAGCAATAAAACACTGGCTCGGCTAAATATTTCGAATAATAATATATCGAATGAAGGTGCAACATCCATTGCTCATGCACTGAAGAGCAATAAAACACGGCAAGGGCTCTATATTTTGAATAATAATACATCGAATGAAGATGCATTATTAATTACATCATTTTAAAATTAAGTTAAGGCGGAATAATTTGCATTTTACTGGAATACCCCCAAAACACTTCCGTATTTTGGAATTCCTTAACGGCCTCTATTTTAACTGGAACTTTTGATCCGATAGTTCAATCAAGCTCAAATTATTCTTCGTAGTATAACTTCTTAATATCCATCGTTGGTATGAAGTTCATTGATACACGTCGTTTCTTTGCCGAGGTAAGGTACAGAGAACTCAAGAGCTTGAAAGAATTGAAGAACGGGCGTTCTGATCCGGTATCAATTGTTAATATGCGGTCTAGACTCCGTACTGAGGCTGATTCATTTACATTCTACTCGTTCAACCATGGGAGAGCACGGGTCGTATTTTATCCGTTCACGTATGTCCCGTATAACCACTCTATAAATTCGTCTAATTGCTGTCCCACAGAATCAAACCTTAATTGCCGAATCATATTATAGTATTGTGGGTTCATATGTATATTACTCAACCAAGTATGGGATGGTAGAAGAGCTGGCCGACCATCATCTTCGGGAACATGGAATTCCGATAACGAAATTGATTACAAAGAATCTGGGTCTAAATCACTGAATGCATTTGACATTGAACGTATACTTTTTAATCCAATGACAAGCACCATTATATGCACCAGTAGAAATAAAAGTATTTATATTTCTGCAGTCACAAAGGTGAAATGTTTGCGAACAACTTAGTCTATTGGCTTTCTTTTTGACCGGAAGATTTTGGTAACTTTGAAGCGGGTTGCAGCTAGTGGCAAATCGACTACAGTTACATGAAAAAGCACTATAGAATGCCGCGAAATGTCATATTTGCTCAAAATTCCTCGCTCTATCAGGCTATATAGTTTACAACATTTTCTGACCAAAAGCTTAGGACTTAGTTTTCCAGCGGTCAGGTTTTTTAGAAGCTCTATTATCCACTTTTCTCATGAAAGGCCGATATGCAACTTATCTGATAGAAAAATCTTCGGGCTATTCAAAACATTATTCAGATTGGTTTCACCTTTTACTGAAACGTCCAAAACAAGGGAGTTCTTGTGATTATGACACACCATAGTGCTTAGATAACACCCAAAAGCTTTTTTTCCATGTCTTTAACGACTTGTCCACAGGGTGCGTCCAGGTGAGCTTCTGATGGAAAAATGAAAGTTGATTTTTCAGTGATTCAAATAGTGATTGATATACTCTGAACTATGCTCTATTCGATGGTAAAAAAAATTTCCTGCGACCAATTTAAGCCGGGGAAAACATATGAACAAAAATTGCACTGAAAACCATGTTAAGCTATGGTGCCGCCGGTAAATCGGATTGCACGCAAAATGAATGTAAGCCATAAGGAAAACAAACACATATTCAGAATCTCCATCCAGTCCGCTACCGATTAGGGAAAAGAATGTTTCAATTTCAATCCAGCACTAAGATAGGTGAAAATCATTATACCATCCAAGTATTTCAACTATTGACCAATGTGGGCAGATCTTTGAAAGACTTTTTTATAGCTCATTTTGAAGCTTCTGAAATTCTCTATTGAATGACATATAAAGCGAAGTAATATAAGCCGGAAAAAATGAGCTCTTACTTCATTATGGTTATGGGAGTAGGAAGGATGGCGAACTGATCAGATGTAAAAGCGGAAAGTTGATTATATATTTTTAAGGAATGACTGCTTCAGAAACAGAAATCCGGAATGAAGCTGGAATTCATTTTTACGGACAAAAGTGAAAAAATCTTTTTTGCGCGGGGTGCTCTGTGCAGAACATCTTACGGAAAAACAGTGATGTTATCTGAATCCTTTTCTTTCGTAGCATACTGTGTTACTATAGTCAGTACCAAAAACGTGATTAAATAAGGGTAATTCGAATACGAATATTTGCTTGGTTTTTCATAAAATCTTGTAGGAGAAAAGTAAAGCGTAATCAAGTCACCGTTGAGACAATAAAATTTCCGCCAAAATCTTTTTGGATCTACTAACCGGTCGTCGTGACTCACGCTTAAATCGAAGCCCTACCCTCTGTAGTTTGTCATAAACTTTTACCATAGTATTCATTTCAATAGCTGCTGGTTTAGTAGCTAGTGGTATGTCAAAGTGGTTTGTTAGGAGTGAGTTTCTAAGTAGCTGACGCAGGAATACTGAGAGCTGTCTCAGAGCAAATTGGCTTTTAACAGGTTTTGTTTGACAAGGCTCACAACTTTGTCAGCTTTAAAATGGATGCGCTTATTTGTATTCGGATAAGTGTTTTTACAGTACAATGGTTATGCATGAAACACGATTCTGTTCAACTTTATGAACGCCAGAACTATGTCCGTCGGTATTTCCAAAAATAATTTATCGTAGCCTACATATAGTCCTCCTTTTGCACGTCGTACTTTATTAGAAGATTATCTCCATCAACTGTTTCCAGCTAGCCTAGAGACAACCCATTTCATGATTTTTGGTAACATGAGTGTGGATTCGAGGAATGAAACTAATATTAACTGGTGTAATAATATCTGCAAACAATTCAATCTTGTACCATTGTGAAATTTTGTGACGAAATTTTGACGTTTTATTCATCTCATAGTTTATTTTGTGAAACAATTCTCAGAACTGTGTAACATGTTCAATTGTGAAATCAAATGAAATGTGTCTGGATTCTGTGGAAACAAAAGATCGCGTAAATTCAGCATTAAAGTATGGACTTAAGCTGATTTCACAGTTCAATAGAGGTCAACAATATCTTCAAATTGACATCTCGAATTACTATTTCTTACGTTCACACATCCTCCCACAATCAGGCATTTTCGGAGTTTAGATTAGAAATCATCCGTGCTCTTTTTGAAAAATATGGATCGCAGCGATCAACTTCCGTTGGCAGACCAATGGATCAACCAGCACCGGACGACAGTTGACCGACCCCGACACTTGACCGACCCGACACTTGAGCGACCGACACTTGAGTAATAACGACAGTTCAGCGCCAAGTGCTCACCCTCACCCCCACTCACCCTTACCCTACACAGCCTCACCTTCTACAGATCTCCAAATAATTCAGTTCAAAATCGGACGACAAAAAAATTGTTCTGATCATCGTTATCGAAGTGAATAATCATTCGACTTTCCTGATCGGCAAAAAGTCATATTAAAAAGTGTCTAATGTCGGAGTCGCTCAAATGTCGATCGCTCAAATGTCGGGGTCGCTCAAGTGTCGGTCGCTCAAACGTCGGTTGACGGAAATTTGAGACAATTCATTTAGGATGTCCTAAAAACGTTTACGCAAGATGAACACAATACTGGTCTATTATCACAAGATCACTAACAAAAGTAAGCAAAATTTGACATGCAACCATTTTCTCTGTCGTATTCTGAAAGAATACAACTGATATAAGCTGTATTCTTTCAGAATACGACAGAAAAAATTTTCCTTGTAGCATTCGAACATAAAACTATGGAAAAATGCACAATCCATTTTCGAAAAACTCAGTGGGATTAAGTTTCTTTTTAAACTAAAGATAAAACGTATGAGAATAGGATTGTCAACTCTACTAATTTTTTCTGCTGAAATTAGTTGCTGATTTTTAAGGTTTTGTACAGATTTCTAGTGATTTTCTGAAGTTCTACTTTCCATTGATGTTCTCTGCTTCGAGAAATACCTCTGCTTATTCGAAAGTGAAAAAGTACAGAATGAAAATCGTTATATTGAGTAAGTTTAATTTTGCGTATGTTAAAAGACATAGTCATAAGCACATGTTTGCTCATGTATTTCTCTCTCAATTAAAATAATACTCATTTATGTGAACTGAAAGCTTTAGATTTTAAATGTCAATTGCATTCAGTTTTATGTGTGTATAAATTTTTATTTTCATGTTTTGGTAAATTTTTTAAGTATGTCGTAGAATGATCTGTTGTAATCTAGCATAACAAATTTTATATATGACATTTAAATGTTAAGGTCTAGTCTGGTGCAAATAGTGTCGCAAATAATTAGTAGATTTAGTGTATAACTGGTGATTGGATGTTTTGGTGCTGAGAGATTAGACATTCATTCATGGTCATTTAGATATACTAAAATTGTTTTACAAAATCAATTTAAGAATACTAACTTTGAAAATTAGTTTCATCAATCTTTTGCATTTAAGTGATAACGATGATTCCACTCATCAAGGTCCAAACGACACTTCAATACTTGTTTTATCCAAAATTGAAAAAAGCTAAATTCGTTGACTCTGTATAATTTCATGACACTCGATTCCCTCATTAAACTTCTTAGTCGAACATGCGTTTTGTTCGAACTGAAGTTCTATTATTAGTAAGTGATTTATCATCTCGAACAACTCATTATAGCGTTTATCTTCTTCGCAGAGCCACAAAGAATAAATGTAATTGACCTTCTATTTGAAAATGGAGGAATGTGTAGCATAGTTAACCATAATTGCTCAACAACCACAATTGTGAAAAGTTTACTTATAAGTTTAATAGAAACCATCGTCCTGAGCTCTTGAACAATCATGTGACGAAAGATGAATTTTATCCAGTTCCTTCAACCTTCATGAACGAAATAAAATCACTGTTATGCATCAATATAAAGGCAGCTGGTATTGGTTCTCAAGAGAAAAAATATTAGACTGGTCAAACGAGGATTTATTGAACATGACATTTCATGTTGCAACAACAAAAGGTTCATTTCAAATTTGGTTCTTAATTTTGTGAAGCTGCTACTAAAATGCGTGTAATACAAAAGTATCGACGCTAGAAGTAATGTCAAGTGCAGTTCTGCTCTTAAATTATCCCGCCTCTTGGCGACCTCGGGTTTACACAAGCTTTGTACGAAACTACTATTTCTGTTGTTTGAAATATTTTCATGATTTATTCTTAAACATTTTTCTTATCAGAACTTTCGCATCCATCTTATCAGTATATTGTAGTAAAATAAAATGTTGTTTTTCTCTTCGTTTGTTTCTTACAGTGTATAACATAAGTTCGTTTTTTGTTAATGATATTTGAAGATAAATAGAATTGTATAATCCAATTTTCTTTCAGAAATCGACAATTTCGTTTCCAGTATGTATGTGTATGTCGGTATATATGAACGGTGCTCTTTTTTCTGTAGATATTTTCCTACGTTTTACTCTTGAATGCAAATAATAGTTTCTCTTTTGTTGTCGTTCTTGTTCAGCTTAGGTTTTATCTTAACAAAACAATGTTATGAGAAAGAGAGAAGTCAATGAGTAGATGCTTGTGTGTTTGTTTCGTCTCTCTCTTTCTGTCATATATATGCACCTTGTATCTGTTTGTTTGTAATTTACTGTCATTATATATATTTAAAAACATGCTATGAGAAAACAGTGAATATGCGTATAACAGACAATAACAACGAAACTGTTAATTTGTTGATTTGAATCACTGGTCTAATATTTCTCTAGTCTTATGATTTTTCTTTTACTCCAAAAACAAAGTAAATTGTTATATAAACATATTTCTGCTCGTCATGTTGTTCGTGTTTTTTTATTTTATAGTTTCTGATAGTACTTTTACTCCTCATCATTTCAAAACAGATATTTTTCTACTACGTACAGATACATGTTTATTGTACTGCGAAGTAAACGTCGTTTTAACCCTATTATTTTTTGTTGTATGAAGCCTATGTGATCTGGAAGTATTTGGCGCTAAGCGAGGTGCTAAATTGTTGATTCTCCCGATTCTGCAATCATCAAACTAGCGTACGTCTTTTGTTGTATTCATCTGACTAATGATGATGGAAACCGACAAGAGATATTTAATCTAGTTCTGATTTAAATAATTTAAATGCTCTAATTATTCCAAGTATAATGGTTATTCAGGAGCAGAAGATAAAATAAAAAATATTTTGCGCAAAAACGACATCGCTTTTAGTCTATCCCAGGAATCTATCACTGCTTCTCTTAGACCATTATTTAATATGTTCATTCGACCTTATTACCACTCACTAAGACGACTTCCTTTCCAGTAATGAAAAGAAAATTTTTTTAGAACTGGGTGTAACATAGCTCTATATAAAGTGAAATGTCCTCTTCAAAACGCTAGTTAACTCAACTCTCAAAAATGGCTTCGTATACTGATTTTTCTAAAAATCCTAAAAATATGACATTTTTCATTCGTTGCATATGCGTTAAAATGATGTTTTTTCAGCTATGACTTTCCACTGAGACAGCGTTTCGACTTTCACTTCGTTTAGTTTCCAAGCACGGGAAACTGGACAATAACCACAGCACAAAATCGTAAACTGAGGTCAACGTTTCTTAAACTCTTAAGTTTTAATGCTTACAATGCAATATACAACAGAAAATATATAAATGAGAATATCTGACATAAATGGCGACGTGGGTGCCACGAAAAAAAGTGAGTCATTGTCAGAAAAAATTATTATTTGTCGTCGCTATTGCTGTCACCATCTGACCAATAAGATGACTGAGCTAAATCATGAGTGCCGCCGCATCGTCTCATTTCAACAAGCTCATTTATTTCATCGTCTTCAGCCATTTCAATGTCGTCATCGATCTCACAGGAACCACATGCTGTTATTTTTGCAGGAGATGACTTGACCAAATCTGATTTTTTCTTCATTTCTTGATCAGCAGTTATTCGACGCTTCAATTCGGCATGAAATACACCAATCTTTTGACGATCATTGATCCAGTTAGTTTCGTCCAATAAATGATCAACTGTTCGTCGATCATAACTATTTATTTGCATACCGAATAACGAATTCTCGAGAATATAATCAGCCTCGTTCTCTTCTTCTACGCCAGCCCTTCCAGAATGCGTTGCTGTTATTGTGGTTGCCTCTGGTTCCTCTTCCTTTTGGCTCTAAAAGAGTAAAATATAAAAACTATCAAAAATTCTGATAGTGGACGAGTGGCACGATGTCTGATGAATTTACATCTACTTGTTGAGAAGTTACCTTGCACTAAAAGGAGTGAAATAAAATCTCAAGATGTCATTGTTTGTTTTCAAGTCTAATTCATTCTTAACTCTTTGAAGCCAGAATTGTCCTTTATCCGTTCTCGATTGAAAAATAGGTGGTACAACGTATGTACCACCGGCCTAGGAGATCTTCCTAATCATTATGCGTAATGTTGCATTGTCGATGGCGGACAGTATTGCTTATTCCGTAGATAACAGTAAATAATAATTAACTAGAAAAATTGAATGATTATTATATAAAAAAATGAGTAAATACAAACATCTTGGCTTACGAGACATATTACAGCATAGTGAAAAAGCGTAACTCTTCTCCTTTTCTAACTTTACTCTTTACTGTGTGTTTCTTTAGCGTACTTAATGAACTGTAGCATAGTCATCAAGATAGTCACAATAAAGAACAGGAACAGGTATGATAGTTTATTTCAATTTTCAAAACTATAATAGTACTAAAAGTATTGGGCCATTGATGCTATACTAAAGTAGTGGTGAAGTTAGAAATCATAACTCAACGCAACATTAAGCACCCCTGCTTTGAGTACGTAAACACTTGGGATGAAATGAAATGAAATTTAATAGAGATGAGTCACTGATTGTGCGTAAAGTTTTGTGTCCAATGTAATAACTGAGAATAAACCCGGATAAATGTTTCAGGGTTGCTACCCTCATTTAGGCATGCACCGGTTTCGATTTTTAACCAAATAACTGAAACCGATCATAACCGAAACCGATCATAATGAATAGAAGCGGGTGAAGAAGACGTAGTCTCAACGTTGCTTTTGGAAGAGGTCATATAACTCAGGTTAATTGTAGCATAATAACATTTTCTTCATTCATGTCGTGTCCTTCCGCATCATTAACAATTCAACACCTAACATTACTTTTCATCCTCTAGAATATTATGAAATGAACACAAACGAGGCCAAAATATGTGCTGCACATATGTAAATGAAAGCGAAAAGACAAGTATTAATATTATAGTTCATATAACTTCACATATAATGTACATAATTGTTTTCATTTCATTTTATCTTTCAAAAAAACTATATAAGCTAAATTTTTCGCATCCATTCTTGCTCGTTCTTTGCATCCAACATAAGCTGAAACACTGAATGCAGATTCAGACGCTACGCTTGTACCACTGGTCGCCAAGTACTGTTTAGCCATTTGTTTGAGAATTGGCATTTGATCTCTATAAGTTTTCCAAAACAAAATAGCATTTGCTGTCAACTAAAATATTCAACTGATCACAATATACTTCATTTTGTTCATCTTTTGTTCTTTTCTACTCTTTTCTTTTCCTTTCTTTTCTATGCTTTCTTACGCATATATCTAAACCGACTGAATTCCTTGTTAAAATATTTAATTTTCCTTCTTCACTTGGCTGAAAAAAATACCAAGAAAATAAAATTTAGTTTTGACAAAGCCGGCCTTGTCAAGCAAGACCGTCTTGATCAGTTTCTATTATGATCGGCTTCGGTTATGATCGATTTCGGTTATGATCGGTTTCGGTAACCGAAACCGGTGCATGCCTACCCTCATTTAAATATATTTTTAAAAAGTTTGGACGTGTACCAATTTTTACAGGATCCATCTTTCACAGTACAGAAGAATCGAGTTCAATCGCATCAGTATCCAAGATAGTTTGCAAACATATAATATTCTAAGCCGACGCATGTAGTTGAAGTACCACGCAATCGTATTATCAATATTTTTAGTACTTAAGCTATTTACGGGCATGAAATATCAGTACTTACTTTCTTAGATGAAAAGATTTTGGTATTGACAGAGTGGTAGAAGTGAATAAATTTTGACCTTCACGAATATGAGGACGACGAAAAACATGAATAAATTCATGAGTAAGCACAATGAAGAATTTGAACCAATCCGATGATTGTTTGACGGGATATTTATCCTCCAATGCTTCAATACAAATATAATTTGAATTGATATATACATGTGGTCCGGTGACTGCCAGTGCTTGATATGGCCAGAGCTGTTAGAATACACAAAAAATATGTCTCATCATGCCTTTCATACTTTCATATTTTTGTACTTTTCATCGCTTTTGGGGTTTCATCCATTTCGAGCTGTTTGACTTCTCTGGTCTGTGAAGGCTTTCGTGCTGTGTGCATCTCCAAGTTTTATTTTTATTATATGGACGTAAAAATGACTAGCAGTTATGTTTCCACAAAGGTATGTGCGCTACAACAATGAACTGCGAAACTTTAAAATAAAAGACGTAAAATATCGTTTCAAGCAATGCACATCGCTATGTTTGTGTTGAGCTATCGCAGGATAGGCATTGAAAGGGATGAAAAGTATGTAATCATCGATCATTGGTATTTTGGCTTTGATGTCGGTTTTAAGTTTCTCGATGGTACATATACTATCGTGAACAGGCAAATTTTTCGAGAATTTTTCTTTGTAATCGATTAGATAATCGAATAAATTGCATATAAACTGTTCAACTTCAGCAATGTGTATTGAATGAACGTTGACATGTTGTTTTTGATTCACTGACGTTACTGCTCGAGATGAAGAGATGGTGTTTGGGGGAGTAATGTTTTCATTTGATTCCATTGATGGCCTGAAAGAACTATTTTATTAAATATACAGCTGAAAAAATATACTTCGGCTAGAAGTAGTTTATTTTAATATAGGAAAACCATTTCAAGCTGCGTCCTTCTCATATCGGTGTGAAGAGAAATACAAAGGCTGAACTTTATCCTTTGTATCAGTCCAGAAAAAGGAAAAAATACTGAAAATTGCTCAGCATGGGTCATAGGAGCTTACGGTGTTTCTTGTGACATTTGTTCATATTGATTATCGAATGTGTGTGACACTCTATGACACTCATCTCATACAAAATCGTCTGTTGCTAAAAAGAAATTAAAAAAGAGAGCAAAAGTATTTTAGTGTAGCAGCGTTAAATATAGAAATGTATCAAATAAAGGCTTTTATCAAACAGATTTTCGTTATCAGGAGGACAATCACGGTTATTTAAAGAAAAGGTAAACTGAAATAACTGACATTATTCACGCTCTCTTGAAAATCTCAAGTAGCGTATTATCAAACTTCCACAAATAGCGCTTAAAACCGCTTTCACTAGTGTCCTCTCTCGAGCATCACTTAAAAATAAACAATTACAGTAGACATTTGCTGAATTGAAGTTTATAGGTAAGACCCAAAACGAACGAAAAACCATGCTATTTTTATTTTCTTTCTGCTCATCAATCTTTTGTAATTTTCTTCCGCTATCCACACAATCTGATGCTATCTGATAATCTTTGTCATCATTATTTGATGGATTCGTTCTTTTACCCTGTTTTTGTTTTTCATCATCTCCCGTCGAATTGATACCAGCCTAAAAGTGTTCAAATATTGCACGATTCAATCATCTAGCTAATATTGAACGGTAAATCACTAGTTGTGCGTAAAGTTTTGTGTCCAAGATAATAACTGAGAATAAACCCGGATAAATGTTTCAGGGTTGCTATCCTCATTTAAATATATTTTTAAAAAGTTTGGATATGTACCAATTTTTACAGGATCCATCTTTCACAGTACAGAAGAATCGAGTTCTAAGCAGTTCTCAACCTTCATGTTTGATTTATTTACATCAATTCCAGGATATTCTTGAGACATGCCAAGGAAAATAAACCTTTCCACAATAATAAGAAAGTTTAATTTTCTTTCCACTATGAATTTTTGATAGCTTTCTTCCAAATAAAATGTTCGATTGGTTATCTAAAACTATCCAAATGTAATTATCAAAAAGCAAACAAAACATTTAAAAGTTAGCTTCGAGACGAAGTCAGTTCTTGTCTACATTACTTAAGGTCGACGAAGTGGCAACGGAATAACAGCATTTACTGGAAAAGAAATGTCCGTCTACATCACATGATAGTAATACTGTCCGACTTGTGCTAAAAGTGGCATCCAATATTTTCTTTTTCCCCATAATTGATGTAAAAAAAAAGGTAGGGTTCGATTCTGAAAGTTATACTGAGTGTCTGATTGTGCTTGTGGAAGAAATAAAGGAT